AGGCATATGTTATACATTTAGTCACTGAAGAAGTGCACACTAAGAACAGCATCTTGAACATTCATCTCAGGGATGAATGCAGCTCTAGTGAAGGTGGCAAACAGAAGGCATTCATTGGAGATAGCTCTATCTGCCAAGAACCTCTTTGGCATTGCCACCTGTACCAATTTATATTTGATGGAGAACGTAGCAAGTAGTAATCCTGTACTACCATAAGAGGTGGGATGCTATAGTGACATAGATTAGAGAAAAATCAGACTATGAGAGAGCTGCAAGCCAAGCTGAAGCCTTATGCAACTTGATCAAGAAACTGGAATCATAGCATGTATCCAAATCCAGTGTTGTAAGAAGTGATATTTGGAGAATTCTTGGAGGCAGTTTCTGAATACCTCCAAGATTTGGGTTTGAAGCTTNCAAGCCAAGCTGAAGCCTTATGCAACTTGATCAAGAAACTGGAATCATAGCATGTATCCAAATCCAGTGTTGTAAGAAGTGATATTTGGAGAATTCTTGGAGGCAGTTTCTGAATACCTCCAAGATTTGGGTTTGAAGCTTCAATTTTATCTAGATGACAAACATCCAGCATGGCAGTTCTGGAAAGAGCTTGAAGTCCTAGATCCAAATCATAACCTAGCAATGAACAGTATAACTTCTCAATTATGCAATTCTCCAAGAAAGAGTACCAAAGGAAGAGATAGCATATTGCAATACTTTGATTAACAATAAAAACAGAGCAGTGCACAATGATATAATAATTTCTGGAAGCATTCTACCAGGGAAATGCTGATTTTGAGTCAGCTGGCATTAAAAGCTCTATCAGTTCATGCTAGCAGTGCAGATTTGGAGGAGTTTTTCTACCCTGAATTATCTTCTAATGCTAAAGAGATTGTCATTTACCAAGGAAAATTTGGACATTCATATTAGTCTCATTTTCAACTCAGCTGATCTATTGGATTCAGACAAAGATATACAAAAAAAGTAGTATTGAGAATCAAGTAAACTAATAAAAATGCAAAGAAAATTTGTATGCTAAATGCAAATGTAATTAATAAAATAATAAATTAGGCAGAATAAAGCAGAAAATTTTTCATAAAGCATAATACAGTAATACCCCAAACTTACGCGATAGGTGGGACCGAGCGATAACCGCGTAAGTCGGGGTATAATTTTGCATATAAATACATACAAATAACATAAAATAAATTGTAGCTATATGTCGAACACATCCGAACATGTAAGCCGAATAATAGTGTGGGGGGAAATGAGTGATTAAGAGTTGTGTGGCGCTCAAACAAAAGACGAATCGACGAGATCTGAAAATCGCATAACTCCGGATTCGCGTAAGTCGGGGTATTACTGTATAGCAAAACTTTTATTTTTTAAAGCAGATTGTGGGTTGCCTTAGTCATATCTAAATTAAATATGTCCCGAAGCAAATGATCAGATGGAGGCCTCGGTAGTGTAATTGACAACTCATCCACAGAGTAAGCAGAAGTTCAGGTTTGAGTCCTACTCTGAACCAATTCTTTTCTTCCNCATATTTATGAACAAAACTTAGATTTTTGAAAATGTCAGAAAACAAATAAATGATGTCATGTGCAGTTGAAATTTTAAAATAGATTTGTAAAAAAATTCAGTTTTCACTAATTTAAACTGAATATCATTTTAAGACTTTTGTTTTGAATGAACAATAATTATTCCATTCTGATACAAAAGAATTACTTCAGAGATGCAGCAAGACAACATTCTGGATGTCGCTCCGATATACTGGGTATGAGTACCAGATGTTGTACTTTCCAATAAGATGGAATACACTCCAGACCGCTCTAGCACAGAAAAAGGATCCCTGTCATTGCACAACATTCTTCTAAGATTTGGCCGCAGTGACACTGGCAGGAAAAGCGCATGCTGCCTAAAAATACGGCCACAAAATGGTAATGGGGGCTGGATTATCGTACATTCTTCCGAGGCCTGCAAAGTTGTGTCAGGAAATAGAGAACCTTTAACCTTTCTAAGGATGTACCTGTACTTAGATCTAGCGTAACCTGCCGCGCTTACCACTGCACTTATAGCTTCAAGCTCGATGTCGACAAGAGCTTGATTGGAAGACAAGAAAAACGCCTTTCTAATTAGAGGGGCGATAGCTGCGTTGACATAGTGCCGCGGTTGGTTCGCAGTGGCAAGGATTAAAGGAGGTATGCTGTTGAACTTATGGAACACAGAGAACACTATCGGTGCGATAGTGTTCTCTGTGTTTCCCCGGGTTTTTGTGATGTTTAGATCTAAAAATGCAATTTCACCTCCCTTTTCCTTTTCCCAGGTAAACTTGATGGTAGAATAAACCTCCATAAGATAACTTTTGAGAATGTGGAATTCCTCTTCCGTGTGTTGCCAGGCTACTAAGATATCGTCCACATATCTAAGATATAATAGCGGGTATGCTATGGTGAGAGGGAAGGTAAACACTCTTTGCTCCACATGCCAATTCTGCTAATATAGCAGAGAGCAGAGAGCCCATAGGTACCCCTTGTTTCTGTAAATAAACTTTCCCGTTGAACCGAAAGTAATTATTTTCCATGATAAAAATCAAGGCCTCTCGTATTTCTAGGACTTGCTGTGCTGTAAAACCCTCCTTAACAAGCATAGCATTGGCGAGCATAACTGCCTCAAACTGCAGTACTGAGGGGTAGAGTGCAACCACATCCATCTTGTAAAAGTTGTAATTGCTATGGGATAGATTATCCAATACAGAAGAAATAGCGGCCTTTGCCGCAATGGACGATGCAGCAAGAACTTTGCCATTTACTGCTTCTAGAAGTAATAAACCTTCAAGATGGCAAGGCATGGTTTCTGTATTCTGTTCTGCAGAATACTCTTGCACATTTTCTGTCATAAAGGATTCCAAAATTGGATGAAGTCTAATTTAAAACTATCTCTGAATGAAAATGTGCCTAGTGAAAGCACATTGTTTAGGATTCTCTCCAATGTTGGAAACAAAGATTTAGATACTAAATAAATGTGGCAAGATGCTGACATTCTGCTAATACTACATGAGTAGATTGATGTGAAAGCAGGAAAGTTGTCAATACATTGGTTGTGTACCTTGAAACCTACAAACCACCTCCATCTAATGCAATTGCTGCTTGTAGAGAAGTGCAACAGTAATATCATTGCCAAAGAAGTGTTCGCATCTCTTAAACTTTTGAATGTTGAGTTAAACAATTTTGTTGGGTCTTTTGACAGACAACACTCTGTATATGAATGCTACTGCCTTGAAACTTTTGCCAGTGTGCACAACATTGTTCCACTTGACTTGCTGGGCATATGTTATACATTTAGTCACTGAAGAAGTGCACACTAAGAACAGCATCTTGAATATTCATCTCAGGGATGAATGCAGCTCTAGTAAAGGTGGCAAACAGAAGGCGGCAAACAGAAGGCATTTGTTAGAGATAGCTCTATCTGCCAAGAACCACTCTTTGGCATTGCCACCTGTACCAATTTATATTTGATGGAGAACGTAGCAAGTAGTAGTCCTGTACTACCATAAGAGGTGGGATGCTATAGTGACATAGATTAGAGAAAAATCAGACTATGAGAGAGCTGCAAGCCAAGCTGAAACCTTATGCAACTTGATCAAGAAACTGGAGTCATAGCATGTATCCAAATCCAGTGTTGTAAGAAGTGATATTTGGAGAATTCTTGGAGGCAGTTTCTGAATACCTCCAAGATTTGGGTTTGAAGCTTCAATTTTATCTAGATGGCAAACATCCAGCATGGCAATTCTGGAAAGAGCTTGAAGTCTTAGATCCAAATCATAACCTAGCAATGAACAGTATAACTTCTCAATTATGCAGATTCTCCAAGAAAGAGTACAAAAGGAAGAGATAGCATATTGCAATATTCTCATTAACAATGAAAACAGAGCAGTGCACAATGATATAATAATTTCTGGAAGCACTCTACCAGGGAAATGCTTATTTTGAGTCAGCTGGCATTAAAAGCTCTATCAGTTCATGCTAGCAGTGCAGATTTGGAGGAGATTTTCTACCCTGAATTATCTTCTAATGCTAAAGAGATTGTCATTTACCAAGGAAAATTTGGACATGCCGAATTTGCTGTACGACGAAACAAACACACGCCATACTTGAATGGGTCAGTCGTTTCGATCACTTCGGATAGGCGAATGTTGCTTAAATTACGCATTACACGTGTAATTTAAGCAACATTCATATTAGTCTCATTTTCAACTCAGCTGATCTATTGGATTCAGACAAAAATATACAATAAAAGTAGTATTGAGAATCAAGTAAACCAATAAAAATGCAAAGAAAATTTGTGCGCTAAATGCAAATGTAATTAATAAAATAATAAATTAGGCAGAATAAAGCAGAAAATTTTCCATAAAGCATAATATAGCAAAACTTTTATTTTTTAAAGCAGATTGTGGGTTGCCTTAGTTATATCTAAATTAAATAGGTCCCAAAGCAAACGATCAGATGGAGGCCTCAGTAGTGTAATTGACAACTCATCCACAGAGTAAGCAGAAGTTCAGGTTTGAGTCCTACTCTGAACCAATTCTTTTCTTCCAGAATTTTCTTATTTATTTAATAACTATTAATTTAATTATAATTGTTAAATTTAATAAGAGATGGTGTCTAAAACCTACCTCTAGTGTAACATTACTCAGATTTAATAATTATTAGTAATGGTAATATAGCCAGATTTAATCCAGTAATCATTTGGCTTTCTAATATAGTGGTGTTTTCCTAATAAGCAACCAATGTTCTACATACATGTCCTGCTAATCACACAACATTACTTTGTCAAAATTAATCATTTTTCAATGTTTAAATACATGTAGGCTAAAGATAATTGAATTATTTAACAAATGAAAAACATTTGTTTTTATTAAAAATTTTATCCAGTATATTTTTATATAAACCTGCATTATTAGTTTTAATTTTGTAATATATATTATCTATAAAACAAAAAATTACCTCACTTTCCTCCTCCTCTTCCTCATCATCATACTCCTCAAATTTTTTACTTGTTAATACTGTAAACTTTTTCCACTGATTTGAATCCTCTCCTTCGCCAGCTTTACGCAAGTTAAAGCTAGCTTTAGATCGTTTGCCTTCTTGTTGCTTTTTCCATTCATCCAAAGTCATTTCATTATTTGCTTCATTGGTTATCTTAACCCCTTCGATACCTAATTCTGTTTCCCTGTAAAAAAATTTATTTTATTTTCACTCTTAATCACTGCTTCTTGATTCTCTTTATTAATACTTCAGAAAATATTCTTTTTAAAAAAATATTAGTTATGATTCAGTTATAAACTCACACATATTTAATGTAATAATGGATGTATTAATGAGATATCAAAGAATAGGTTCCATAGTATCTTTGATATTGGTTAAAATGGAGAGAAGTGCATGGAAGACAGAGAGCTTAAGATTAACACAAAGAAAACAAAATACATATAATGAAATAATTCATCCTCTGTTATACAGAAATCTAAAGAATACATAAACTCAAACTGTGAGCCAAACTCCTTAATTAAGTCTAAACTGTAAGATTATTTTTTCAGAGCATACTGTCTTAATTATCAATCTGGATAAGAGATTCAAGTCCTGTTTAGAATTTTCTAATTAATTAATTTTGAAGTTTAATTAAATTTCTAATTATTTATCTTTACACAAGAATGCAACATTAATTAATTAAATATAGCTTGTAAAATTATCTACTAATTTAAGCTGAAGTTTAGTATAAGACAATAAAGGAACAATAAACTCATTGGAATGGAAACAGCAATAAGTGTAAAAAAATTAATCAATTGATCCATGAAATTAATCCATACTCTACATTTAAGTAATACAAATATTAGTTATTCCTATCCAAACTTTTATTTTAAATTCCATGACGTTTTCTAAATACTAATGAATTTTCCTTATCCTCACATCCCTTATAGTATGACACATTAACAAAATAATATAGCATTTGACTTACTATGCACATATGCTACTGCTTCTCCAACTTTTTAGTTAGTTATTTTTTCTAATTAACAGCTAATTAAAATTTATAATTGCCAAATTATTACAACTAAAAATATTAACTAAATTTAAACAGTAAATTTAAGTAGTTTATTCTGTTATTAATCCAGAACCATAGATGTAAATGGTGTTGAAAAATGCCATTTATTTATTTATTATTGATTAAAAAACCTGTATAATCCATTTTCAAAAGTATATATTTATTAAATTTATCTCTCAATAAATTTTCTGAACTATATAAAATATTAAAAAACTGGAAAAAATATCAAAAATTGTTTTGTTATTGAATCAAAAATTATTAAAATGAAAAATAATAGATAACATTTAAATTAAAATTATTTATCATTTTTTGTACTATGTAAATTTTTGGAAAATTTTGGGTCCTGAAAATATTCTGCACCCCTTTTCATATGTCGTACTGTACCACATTATTTATTGCTGCCTGCTACACTTGCTCAAGCATAATGTAAGGCAGCCAACAAGGCAAATTTCCTGACTCTCTATAACTTTTCCTAAATACTAATGAAAATCCCCAACTTTCCAGGTGCATAGAAATCCTGTTTATAAGAATAAATTCACTTATCAAGGAACAAGATTATTATATTTTTCCCAAATAAAAGCAAATTTATGTAAGGTATGAAACCATGTCCTTTGCATTATTTCACAATACAACTAATCATAGAAATGAATCAAAATAGACATCAAATATAGTATTAAAAACCAAATAGTGAATTGTATCTCCATTTAAACTTCATTTTTAACTAACTGCACAAAACAACTTTTCAGAAGGAAGAGTAAAAATTTGCCAATGAAATCATTCATAAAGTTGTCTTGCAATCAGTGGCAGAATCTACATACTACTTTCCTGTATGAAAAATATTTGTTGTATTTTGGCTTCATAATGATAATTCATTTAACGTAAATATATTTTGTGTTGCTGTCTTTATCTTGATAAAGAATGGTAAGAGCCATATCTCTATCTACACACATTAACAGCATTAATCTACCCACCTTTTGCACACTTTGTAAAACAAATTTCTACAAAGCCGGCTTTTGTGGGGGAAAGTAAATAATATTTATATAAAAAAGTCTGCACTTTTATTAGTTAATAAGTTTTTTTAAATCAAATTCTATGAAAAATATTACAGAAAAACTGATTATTTTGCATTTTTTAAATACAAGAATAATTCTTTACAAATGTATAGTCAAATTTATCACAAAATTATTGATTTAAAACTTTATAAGTTGAGATTATTACTTACTTGATGTCATTTTGTTCTGGCACAATTTCATCACCACTTCTTTCACCAATTTCTGGATTTTCATCACTCAATGGGGTTAGCTGTACTCTAAAATTTTAATACATACATACATCAAATCAATATTGATATAATTAAAATGCATGCTATTCAAGTAATATAATTATATTACTTGAATAGCAAGCTGAATAAATACAGTGGTGCCTAATACTTCAAATTTAATTCATTCCAGCAATTTTTTTTCATTAGAAATAACAAAGTAAATTAATCCCATTTCTAGACCCTAAACAATATCCATTTCAATAAACTTAAAACAGCAAATACACATAATTTAAGTAAAAATAACTCAATTAAATATCTTAAAAACAATGAACATTTTTGAACAGCTTGATTGTCCTGCTTCAGGTATGTGTGTTCCATATAGAATTCAAATATTTTTGCAATTTACAAAATTTAAATTTACCTAATTAAATTTTACAAGTAATATATTCTATTTAATTTTATATTAACATCCTATGGGTTAATTGAGTTGTTATAATAACACTAGTCTACATGATTTTCGGAACAGATACATTAGTGATTTTTTTATAATGTATTTTTCATTCTAAAACAGAAAGTGTGATCAGAAATGCTCTATCACGTCATATTATTTAGTTATTTGACTTTAAGGGCAGTCAGATGTTCAATCCCAGCCCATATAAAAATGGCAAACTTTGACTTGTTCCTCTTGTGGTGGTGCACATTTTAATGTGTTTTTTTTTAATTTTTCAGTCATAAATAAATTTTTTATTTAAAGTAAAGATTTTTGTCAAAAAAATTCTTCAATTTAAAATTCAATTTCAAAAGTCTACATTTTTACAATTGACACAAGAAGCAGAAGTGTTAGGTTCACGCTTAAATCAGTGGAATTTATTGCATAAGGATACCAAAGTTTCATTTTCAGACACAGAAATAAGGATTTTATGAAATATTTCACTATGGCAGATCAGTTGTGTTCCTGTTGTGATATAAATGGTTTGATGTCTGAGTTGAATATTCCTTATAAAGCTGATGATTGGTGGTTATTTATAGATTCATCAAAAATGAGCTTAAAAGCAGTGCTACTGCATAATTCACACAAGAATCCTTCTATACCAGTAGCACATGCTGTTGGTTTGAAAGAAACATATGAAAATATGTCATTAATTTTAAAAGCAGTCAATTATAGTGCTCACTTATGGCGTATCTATGGTGACCTAGAAGTTATTGGTCTTCTCTGACTGCAAGGTGGCTTTACAAAATATTGCTGCTTTTTATGTCTGTGGGACAGTCATGCAACAAGTGAACATTATGTGGCTAAAGATTGGCCAAAAAGAGACACTTTCACTTCTGGAAAAAATAACATTAAGTATGTTCCATTAGTCAACCCTCAGCAAGTAATTTTGCCTCCTTTACATATAAAATTGGGGTTGATAAAAAATTTTGTTAAAGCACTGAATAAAGAAGAACGAGGATTTAAACATGTAAGCCAAGTGTTTCCTAGGTTAAGTGAAGCTAAATTAAAGGAAGGAATATTCATTAAACCTTAGATTAGAAAATTACATAATGATGAAAATTTTGACATGAAGTTGAATAATATAGAGTTAAAGGCATGGAAACCATTCAAGGATGTAGTCCATGGTTTTCTTGGAAATAACAAAGCACAAAATAGTGATTATTTTAGTAAAAAATATCCTGCTGAACTATAAAAATTTAGGCTGCCGGACGTCCTTAAAAATTCATTTCTTGCATTCTCATCTGGAGTTTTTCCCATCAAATTTGGGTGCAGTGAATGATGAGCAGGGTGAACAGTTTCACCAAGACATATTGCAAATTGAGCAGCATTACCAAGGGAGATGGGATGAATCGATGATGAGTGACTACTGCTGGTTTCTGCAAAGAGTAAATCCAACCCTACACCGAAGAAAGAAGTGATTATCCAACTCCAGTTATAAAAAAATTTCAGCTACTTTTTATGCCTGTTTTAGTTATGTTATAGAACAGTTTTTTATGTAATCAGTAAAATAAAATATGAATATTGGAAATTTATTTAGCATTGCATGAAATTTAATATACCATAAACTTGGTCACTGTGGGAAATTCACATTTTTCATCAATTTTTTAATGGTATATAACAAAAATGTGGTGGGTGATGGAGAAAAACTGGCTTCATTTTCAGATGCAGGGAACAAAACAGAATAAAATTCACTTATTGCTGTTTCTGTTCCAAAAAAATTTTTTTTAATTTGTAGAATAGTGTAATCTTTTGTCAGGGTTATCATAAAAAGATTTTCAAGCATATGATAACGAATCCACAACTTGTATGTTAATGCACTCTCTCTTCAAGGCTGTTTTATATATTTCTAACATCTCTAAAAAATTTTGTTTCTTCTCTAATAAAACACTTTTTAATCAGTGTTGCTTTCTCCAAGTTAGCTTCAATTCCTGGCTCCGAGGCACATATGAATAGCACTGTTGTTTTTCTTTTTCAGTATCATATTTGTGTTCTTTAATTCTTCTAAGAGAGATCTATTTGTGGCTCCAATGTAAATTAAATTCTTGTCAAATCTTTCATTTTTTACTGATATGCTATAAACTCCAGAAGCTCTGGTGCTATCTATATCCTTATCATTTTGAAGCATTTGATATACAGTATTGTCTCTTTTGTATGCCAGCTCCTTTTCTCCATTGCATATATTGGTTTCAGCTTCTTTTCATATTCTACAACTATGGTTTTAGACTTAACTGGCGTATGTTTTCTGCATTGGGGTGGTATCTTGTCATATATATAATTTTGTGGTAATTATTCTATAAGTTTTATCAAGTACCCATGTGCCATTGTTATTCTCTTTATCTGCTTAAGTTCTACAATTGTACCAATACTGGTGCAATGTATAAATGCCCTCATAGCTAATGATCTAAAGGCAGCTATTTTATATCTAAATGGATCATTCAAGTGAGCTGTAATGAATAAAGAAATGTATTCTGGTTTATAATATTTTGTTTAAAAAAATGTTTATATCTGGCTTTTTTTCCACCAAATAATGAGGATATCATCTATATATCTATTATATAATGCTATGTTTTGGGCAAATTCTGGCAATATTCTCTTTTCTAAAGTACGTATGACCAATTCGCACATCCCCCAAAAGGATACACTCCCATTGTATGTATGCATTGTTATTGAATTTGAAAATTAATGTATACCCATAAAATGTGTGTTAGTTTCTAAAATATCTATTCTTTTAATAAAAAATCTCTCAAAAACATGGATATATATATGGAGGGGTAAAGCTATTTAAAATCTAATCTAATATATTTGTCATCCATTAATGCAGTGTTGTTTAATTTATGAACCAGTTTTTGTGGATCATCGCACATAAATTCATAACCTTACAACTTTGTGGCCAATATATCATACATCTTACATTCTAAGGGCTTCATGGGGACCTATCTTCTCAACAATAGGCCTCAATTGTTTCTCTGGTTTATTAAGAAGACATTACTGGAATGAAATTAAGGTTACTGAGGTGATTTATATCGACACTTTTCAAATTTTGATTTGTTTCTCTTTATGTATTGCTTTCATTCTTCATAATAAGTTTATCATCTCAATCATCAATATTCCAACTTCCTCTTAGGTTTGTTGCATTCACACTTCTTGGACACCATGGTTAATAAGCAAAGGTTATACTGAGTTGAACAGAAAGTTTTTGTGTATTTTAACAGTTGTCATTACTTCACATAGATGTGTGATTTAATTATATTGGTTGTGAAATTTAACACATTATTGCTAATTTGAGATTATATTTTGTTCAGAACTTTACTTTATGATGGAGAGTGCATTTTTCACTGAATGTGCAGTTTGAACTTTGAAGCTTCATTTGAACACTGAAGTGAATTATTGTCAAGTTTAGCATTCAAACACTGAAGCACTGGAAATACAAGGTACCATTGTATTTAAAAATATCCATAGAAGTTTTTTTAAATAAACATATTTTGTTATTATTTGAATTCTACAGACTTGTTCTGAAAATTTCTAAGTTCAATATAGAGGAAGAATATTGAGCCAAAATCATATGTGTGCTCTTGAGCAGATCTAATTTTTCTATCAATTGTGTTAAAGTAAATATGAATGATTGTGAGTAATGTATTTACAAAAAAACCTTATATTCTGTGTAAAACTAAACAAATTCCCAATAAATTGATTTTTGAAATATATTAATTTTATTTTCTATATTCAAAATAATGAAGAGAAATTTCTTGGAGTACACTGACCAAAAAAATTAAGAAACACTGTTCTAGACAACATATAATTACAGTATTATAATTGTTCAGAGCTTTTCTACAATACATTTTCCATATTTTATAATTTCATCTATCCAGTAAAATGTAAATATTGTGTGTGCATGAAAATACTAAACTTATGCTGTGTTATTATTTTGCTAAGTTCATGTTGAAATTGCTAAATTTGTTTCTGAGAAACTTAAGCCTGTTTTAAAATCATCATGAAAACAAAATCTACATTACTAGCAGATCATCCACACAATATACACAGTTTTTATTTTCTTCTTTTTGTTTCACAAGTCACTGGAGGATTATACAATATTCTCCCAATGTTTAAAATCAATAAGAAATGGTGTGCATCAAAACAATGACTATTTTCTTATAAAAGTTATGAATCAAGTTATATTTAAAAGTGAATACCCAAAAATGACTAAAATTGATCAGTTTCTAACATAAACTTACAAGAGAGATATCATACACTCATCACATTAATAACAAACAACCTGATTCAATTAGTATTGCCAAACAATCTGTCAGATTATTTATCAAGATATGGACCGTTTATTTTGAAAGTGGTGTAAGTCCATTTTTGGAAAAAATTGAGAAAACACATAATATGCATACAATTTAGTGTGAACTTTTTATTTATAAACAATTCACACTTAACATTTTAAAATAACCATAAGCTTTGATCAATTGAAAATTTATCGGTAAATGACATTGCATAACCATTGATTTTGAAAGTGGTGTAAGTCCATTTTCTACAGTGTAAGCATTTGGGCTGTCCATAAATTACATGCACATTTTTCTTGAAATTTTTACTTTCCCCTCTTGTTCCAGTTTTTCCAAATTTTTGTAACCCCTTTCCCTCTATGGATGTCCAACATAACTCTATCCCCGTTAAAACCTTCATCACTTTATGAATGATAGATACCATAAGTAGAAATGAAGCATACAAGAAACTTTGAAATAAATATAATAAAATGCATACTGTATAAAATTTAATGAAATAAATGGATG